TTTTAATTGCATTATACTGTTTTGTGATATTTTGCATTGTTGTGTAAATCGCTTTGAGTCGCCTAAGGGCTGAGAAAAGCAGTATAGAAATAAAGTAAATAAATAAATAATAAATATATACACAAACACACATATATACACATATACACAAATATACAGTATATACACACATATATGCATATACACACACAAAACACATACCCAGAATATACACAAACAAGCATATATACACACACAAAACACATATACACAGAATACACACAAACACACATATATACTCATATGCACAAATATACAGTATATACACACATATATGCATATACACACACAAAACACATACACAGAATATACACAAACATATACACAAATATATGTATGCACATATACGCATATATACACACACAATACATATATACACAGAATATACACAAACACACATATATACTCATATACACAAACATACATTATATACATACATATATGCATATATACACACACAAAACACATACACAGAATATACACAAACACAGATATACACAAATATATACACGCACATATACACAATACACATATACAAAGAAAGGAGGAAAAAGAGGGAAAGAAGGAGGGAAGGAGAGAAAGAAAGAAAGAAAGGTAGAGAAGGAAGGAGAGAAGGAAATAAAAAAGTGAAATAAGGAAGGAATGAGAGAGGGAAGGATGGAACCAAAGAGCAAAGGAAGAGAGGGTAGAGAAGGAAGGAAGAAGAAGAAAAAGAAAAAGAGGAGAGGAAGGAGAGAAAGAGAGAGGGAAGATTGGCCACAGCAACGCGTGGCGGGTGCAGCTAGTCTATATAAATAAAAGTGTAATGTTCGTTTGTGGGATTAACAGAACTCAAAAACCATTGGACAAACTGACACCAAACTTGGCCACAAAACACCTACTAACCCAAGGAGTGACCATCACTCAAAAAATTGATTTTGTCATTCGAGGGTTGTACTTGCTGGGATTTATAGTTCACCTACAATCAGAGAGCATTCTGAACTCCACCAATGATGGAATTGAACCAAACATGGCACACAGGACTCCCATGACCAACAGAAAATACTGGAAGGGTTTGATGGGCACTGACCTTGAGTTTGGGAGTTGTAGTTCACCTACATCCAGAGAGCACTGTGGACTCAAACAATGATGGATCTGGACCAAACTTTGCACGAATACTCCATATGCCCAAATATGAACACAGAATATGGAAAATAGACCTTAATATTTTGGGAGTTGTTTGTTGTTGTTCATTCGTTCAGTCGTCTCTGACTCTTCGTGACCTCATGGACCAGCCCACGCCAGAGCTCCCTGTCGGCCGTTACCACCCCCAGCTCTCTCAAGGTCAGTCCAGTCACTTCAAGGATGCCATCCATCCATCTTGCCCTTGGTCGGCCCCTCTTCCTTTTGCCTTCCACTTTCCCCAGCATAATTGTCTTCTCTAGGCTTTCCTGTCTCCTCATGATGTGGCCAAAGTACTTCAACTTTGTCTCTAGTATCCTTCCCTCCAGTGAGCAGTCGGGCTTTATTTCCTGGAGGATGGACTGGTTGGATCTTCTCGCAGTCCAAGGCACTCTCAGCACTTTCCTCCAACACCACAGCTCAAAAGCATCGATCTTCCTTCGCTCAGCCTTCCCTAAGGTCCAGCTCTCACATCCGTAGGTTACTACAGGGAATACCATGGCTTTGACTAGGCAGATCTTTGTTGCCATTCTGATGTCTCTACTCTTTACTATTTTATCGAGATTGGACATTGCTCTCCTCCCAAGAAGTAAGCGTCTTCTGATTTCCTGGCTACAGTCTGCATCTGCAGTAATCTTTGCACCTAGAAATACAAAGTCTGTCACGGCCTCCACGGTTTCTCCCTCTATTTTCCAGTTGTCCATCATTCTTGTTGCCATAATCTTGGTTTTTTTGACGTTTAGCTGCAACCCGGCTTTTGCGCTTTCTTCTTTCACCTTGATTAGAAGGCTCCTCAGCTCCTCCTCGCTTTCGGCCATACAGAGTGGTGTCATCTGCATATCTGAGATTGTTAATGTTTCTTCCAGCAATTTTCACCCCAGCTTTGCATTCATCAAGCCCCGCACATCGCATGATGTGTTCTGCATACAAGTTCTAAAGGTTGGGTGAGAGTATGCAGCCTTGCCGTACGCCTTCCCAATCTTGGAACAGTCTGTTGTTCCGTGGTCAGTCCTGACTGTTGCGACTTGGTCCTTGTACAGATTCCTGAGGAGAGAGGGAAGGGGGCTTGGGATGCCCATCCCGCCAAGAACTTGCCACAGATTGAGTTTGGGGGAAAATAGACATTGGCATTTGGGAGTTGTAGTTACTGGGATTTGTAGTTCACCTACAATCAAAGAGCATCCTGAACCCCACCAATGACAGAATTGGGGCAAACTTCGCACACAGAACCCCCGTGACCAACAGAAAATATTTAAGGCCATCCAGTCCAATTCCCTTCACCAGGGCAAGAAAACGTAATCAAAGCACTCCTGGCTCGAGAGCAGTACGTGTGAAAAAGATCTTGGAGTCCTCGTGGACAAGTTAAACATGAGCCAACAATGTGATGTGGCGGCAAAAAAAGCCAATGGGATTTTGGCCTGCATCAATAGGAGCATAGTGTCTAGATCTAGGGAAGTAATGCTACCCCTCTATTCTGCTTTGGTTATACCACACCTGGAATATTGTGTCCAATTCTGGGCACCACAATTCAAGAGAGATATTGACAAGCTGGAATGTGTCCAGAGGAGGGCGACTAACATGATCAAGGGTCTGGAGAACAAGCCCTATGAGGAGCGGCTTAAGGAGCTGGGCATGTTTAGCCTGAAGAAGAGAAGGCTGAGAGGAGATATGATAGCCATGTATAAATATGTGAGAGGAAGCCACAGGGAGGAGGGAGCAAGCTTGTTTTCTGCTTCCTTGGAGACTAGGATGCAGTGGAACAATGGCTTCAAACTACAAGAGAGGAGATTCCATCTGAACATGAGGAAGAACTTCCTGACTGTGAGAGCCGTTCAGCAGTGGAACTCTCTGCCCCGGTGTGGTGGAGGCTCCTTCTTTGGAAGCTTTTAAGCAGAGGCTGGATGGCCATCTGTCAGGGGTGCTTTGACTGCAATATTCCTGCTTCTTGGCAGGGGGTTGGACTGGATGGCCCATGAGGTCTCTTCCAACTCTTTGATTCTATGATTCTATGACAAAGACCCATCCAGCCATAGATATAGATAGATATATAAGATTCACACACACACAGATATAGTATCATAGATTTGAAATGGACCCCTAAAGAAGGACAAATATATGTTGCATGTTCCAGATTAGGCAAACCAAACACTCTCCACATCAACACTGGCAAAGAAACAACAAGAAATACTGTTTACCCACAAGCATAAAGACATTACATATATTAGAGACCACTTTATTTTTCAGATCACCAGACTGGGCCACAGCAACGCATGGCAGGGGACGGCTAGTCAGAAATAAATGTTTTCTGATGGTCTTTGGCGACCCCTCTAAAACCGCTTCACAACCCCGTCAGGGGTCCTGACCCCCAGGTCGAGAAGCACTGCCCTAGATGATGGTGTTTTGCAATTCCCATCAGGCAGAGGCCATGTAGCTGAAGGCAAAAAATGATCGGAGATGACATCTGACAAAATCCGCAGGCTATAAGTGGCTTGGACGTTGTAGATGGATGATCTGGATAATGGGATCTAGGCACTCCCCTAGTTAAGAATGTAGATGATGTATTGTCAAATGCTTTCATGGCTGGAATCATTGGGTTGTCGTAGGTTTTTTTGGGCTATATGGCCATGTTCTACAGGCATTCTCTCCTGACGTTTCGCCTGCATCTATGGCAAGCATCCAGAGGATGCTTGCCATAGATGCAGGCGAAACGTCAGGAGAGAATGCTTCTGCAACATGGCCACACAGCCTATAATACTCACAGCCTGGCTGATTGCTGCCTGGGGGAATCCGTTATTGAGGTTTAATTCAACCTGAGAAGTCAGCCATAGCAGAGTACTTGATGAACCAACCTAGACACAACGTATTATTGGAGAACGCAGAAATGCTGGACCACTCTCATAAATCAGACTACACAGAGAAGCCGTTGAAATCCTTTACTTAGGCGATCCCTCATAGTCTGAGGATGATGGTCCTCCAAGTGTAGTGTCTTGGCGGTAGGTCCGTAGGTGGCTGTGGAACCCTATTCTTGATCCTCATGTTTTTGTGCAGTGCGGACATCGGTTTCCAAGTGGAAGGCGGTCCCAGTTAGGGTTGACTTGACGGGACTTCTTCCTCTTGGCATGTTTCTTCCTTCCAAGCCTGAACAAAAATGTAACAGTATCCAAAAGTCCCAGGCTCAGCCATCTCTCTGGGCATTGCCCAATCAATCAGCTGCGTGTATCTTATTTTACAGTTGACACACTCACTGATTCCTTGCATGCTCCAACACAGCTTTCAGCCCAGAAAACTCACAGCATCCCAGCGATTTTGGCCATGAAAGCTTTTGACAACAGACCTCACAATCCTTTTAGGGCTGGGCGGTTTCGTTTCGTAATTTCGTAATTCGTTAAAAATTCGTTATTTTTTTTAATAACGAAGCGATAACGAACCATTCAGGAGCAATCTAAAAAACGAAACGAATTTTTAAATTCGTTTCGTAATTGCTTCGGATTCGTTTTGTATTCGTTTCGTTATCGTTTTGAAATCGTTTCGTTATTATTTCCGCATGTCTGGGGCAAGTTTTATAGTTGTTGTTTGTTTAATCAGTGAAAAAAAATATAAATATCACACCAACAGTCAACAACAGAGGGAGAGGGAAGCTTCAGAAGTTCCCCCTGTCCCATTTGGAGGTTTTTTAGCGTATTGCGCGGTCGCGTCCGCCATTAACGAATCGATTCGTAATTGTTTCGTAATTGTTTCGTAATTGTTTTGTAATTTACGAAATTTCGTAAATATCGAACTTTTTAAAAGAAAAATTTCGGAATTCTTTTAAAAATCGAAACGCAAAAACCCCCAAAAAACGAATCGATTTCAGAAACAAATTTTTCCGTGGTTGCCCAGCCCTACTCTGTGGATGTGGGCGAAACATCAGGAGAGAATGCTTCTGGAACAAGACCATACAGCCCGGAAAACTCACAGCAACCCAGTGATTCTGGCCGTGAAAGTCTTCGACAACACATGAAATGACCATTCCTCTTGACTGTTGGATAGTGCTAATGGAACACGCAGTCCAAAAGGCAGCGGAGGGCAACAGATGGCCCCGATCAAGATCATGTTATCTTGCAAAGCCAAACCACCAAACGACAGCGTTCCAAGCTTTCAGCTGATGATTTCTGAAAGCAGTGGCGTCATGGAGCGTAAGTCCTGGATGTGGAGGATCTGCCGGGTGTTCTCGACTTTCAGCGTCCGCAGCTCCGTCAACAGCAAAAGCAGCTTGGCATACAGGGACCTAGAGAAAAGGGAGGGCGAGGAAAGCGTGGCTGCTTTTGTGGTTTCCTTCCCCCCTTTCCATGGGCCATTGTCCATTTCTCTGGTCCATGTTTTGTCCAATGACAGGTGCCATCATCCCTGCATACACCTGGTGCACCCCCCTTGCTTCCTAATAATACCCCACTCACCTCCCTTCGGGAAGCGGGTGTCGCTGGTCGATGTAGCTCTTGAGAGTCAACGCAATTTTCTCTTGAGTCTGGTCAATTTCCTCTCGCTGCACGACGTCCACCTGATCTGCAAAAGCAGGAGGCTTCGTCAGTGAGAAACATTGCAGACAGAAACATGGTGGGAAAGGCAAAGATGGCTCCGCATTGAATCCTAGAGTTGGAAGAGACCTTGTGGGCTGTCCAGTCCAACCCCATTCTGCCAAGAAGCAGGAAAGTCACATTCAAAGCACTTCCAACAGATGTCCATCCAGCTTCTGGAGCGGCTTACATGAGGCCAAGCCCAACAACACATCAATAAAACAAGAAAGCAATAAACAAAAACGATGCAATAAGAATGACAGAATCATAGAATCAAAGAGTTGGGAGAGACCTCATGGGCCATCCAGTCCAACCCCATTCTGCCAAGAAGCAGGAATATTGCATTCAAATCACCCCCAACAGATGGCCATCCAGCCTCTGTTTAAAAGCTTCCAAAGAAGGAGCCTCCACCACACTCCGGGGCAGAGAGTTCCACTGCTGAACGGCTCTCACAGTCAGGAAGTTCTTCCTCATGTTCAGATGGAATCTCCTCTCTTGTAGTTTGAAGCCATTGTTCTGCGTCCTAGTCTCCAGGGAAGCAGAAAACAAGCTTGCTCCCTCCTCCCTGTGGCTTCCTCTCACATATTTATACATAGCTATCATATTTCCTCTCAGCCACATCTCCAGCTCATCCCTAGTTTGGGTATCGGCCAGCACGCCAACGACTTAAATCGAGAAATAGTTTTCTAAGGTCTACAGAGACACTCGCTGGAACACCTCAGCAAGCGAGAGTCCAAAAGTGGCAGGCTCAAACCCAGAACCTCATCCCCAAAATTGGCAATGCCTGCTGAATCCGCAAAACGCCTGGTCCTGACACACACATCCAAGTCATAGAATCATAGAATCAAAGAGTTGGAAGAGACCTCATGGGCCATCCAGTCCAACCACATTCTGCCAAGAAGCAGGAATATTGCATTCAAATCACCCCTGACAGATGGCCATCCAGCCTCTGTTTAAAAGCTTCCAAAGAAGGAGCCTCCACCACACTCCGGGGCAGAGAGTTCCACTGCTGAACGGCTCTCACAGTCAGGAAGTTCTTCCTAATGTTCAGATGGAATCTCCTCTCTTTTAGTTTGAAGCCATTGTTCCGCGTCCTAGTCTCCAGGGAAGCAGAAAACAAGCTTGCTCCCTCCTCCCTGTGGCTTCCTCTCACATATTTATACATGGGGCTATCATATCCCCTCTCAGCCTTCTCTTCTTCAGGCTAAACATGCCCAGCTCCTTAAGCCGCTCCTCATAGGGCTTGTTCTCCAGACCCTTGATCCTTTTAGTCGCCCTCCTCTGGACACATTCCAGCTTGTCAATATCTCTCTTCAATTGTGTGTGCCCAGAATTGGACACAATATTCCAGGTGTGGTCTAACCAAAGCAGAATAGAGGGGGAGCATGACTTCCCTAGATCTAGACACTATGCTCCTCTTGATGCAGGCCAAAATCCCATTGGCTTTTTTTGCCGCCACATCACATTATTGGCTCATGTTTAACTTGTTGTCCACGAGGACTCCAAGATCTTTTTCACACGTACTGCTCTTGAGCCAGGCATCGTCCCCCATTCTGTATCTTTGCATTTCGTTTTTCTGCCAAAGTGGAGTATCTTGCATTTGTCCCTGTTGAACTTCATTTTGTTAGTTTTGGCCCATCTCTCTAATCTGTCAAGATCGTTTTGATTCCTGCTCCTGTCCTCTGGAGTATTGGCTCTCCCTCCCAATTTGGTGTCGTCTGCAAACTTCAACAGGGACACATGCAAGACACTACTTGGGCAGAAAAAAGGAAATGCAGACAGAATAAGGGTTGATGGCTGGCTCGAAAGCAGCACATGTGAAAAAGATCTTGGAGTCCTCATGGGGAGGAAGGTGGATATGAGCCAACAATTTGATGCAGTGGCAAAAAGGCCAATGGGGGTTTGGCCTGCATCACTAGGAGACTATTGCCTATATCCATGGAAGTCATGCTACCCACTTGTCGTATTACCTCTGTAATAATAATAATAATAATAATAATAATAATAATACTTTATTTATACCCCGCCACCATCTCCCCAAGGGACTCGGAGCGGCTTACATGAGGCCAAGCCCAACAACACATCAATAAAACAAGACAGCAATAAACAAAAACAATACAATTAATATAAATCACATATAAACATTAACAAACCTATGGCTGGGCCAAATGTATTAGTTTAAAATTAAAAAATAAACGCTGGACATGAACAAGGTAGGATATATCTGGTATAGGGTTTTAAAAGAAGTGAGGGGAACGCAATCTAACGAATAGTTAAAGTGCATTCTGAGGACATTTTGCTGGGTATTATTTCCTTATTCCGGGAAAAAATGGAACAGCCACGTTTTCAGGCCCCTCCTAAAGACTGCCAATGTTGGGGCATGCCTGATATCCCTGGGAAGTGAGTTCCAGAGTCGGGGGAGCCACCACCGAGAAGGCCCTCTCCCTCATCCCCACCAATTGCGCCTGCGAGGGAGGCGGGAGCGAGAGCAGGGCCTCTCCAGAGGAACGAAGAGATCGTGTCCATCCAGCCTCTGTTTCAAAGCCTCCAAAGAAGGACCCTCCACCACACTCCGGGGCAGGGAGTTCCAATGCTGAATGGCTCTCACAGTCAGGAAGTTCATCCTAATGTTCAGGTGGAATCTCTTTTCTTGTCGCCAGATGCCAGAATGGATGTCCAAAGAAATTCTAACTGGGCTGAGACTCCAAATAAATATGCACAAGAAGTTGAAAAAGGGAGAAATCACCAAAGAAGAATTCAAACAAATAGCCAACTCTTGTAGGGAGTCAAGCAGTCAATGCAGTCAAGCAGGTAGGCGGGTCCCAAACCATTCATGGCTTTGTAGGTAAGAACCTGCACCTTGAATTGGGACCGGAAAATGAACGGCAGCCAGTGGAGCTCCTTAAACAGGGGGGTTGACCGCTCCCTGTAAGTCGCTCCAGTTAGTAACCTGGCTGCCGCCCGTTGTACCAATTGGAATTTCCGGACTCTCTTCAAGGGCAGCCCCAGGTAGAGTGCATTACAGTAATCCAATCTGGAGGTGACTAAGGCATGGACCACCCTGGCCAGATCCGATTTTATGAGGTACGGTCGCAGCTGGTGCACGAGTCTTAATTGTGCGAAGGCCCTCCCGGCCACCGCCGACGCCTGAGCTTCAAACATAAATGATGAATCCAGGAGGATACCCAAGCTGCAGACCTGTGACTTCAGGGGGATTGCAACCCCATCCAGCACAGGTTGCCACCCTATACCCCGATCCGGCTTACAATCGACCAGGAGGACCTCTGTTTTGTCAGGATTGATCTTCAGCTTATTCATCCTCATCCAGACATCCACAGTGGCCAGGCACTCGTACAGCACTCGAGGGACTTCCTTGGAGTCAGGTGGAAAAAAGTAGTAGAGTTGGGTGTCATCTGCGTAGAGATGGCATCCAACTCCAAAACTCCGGATGACCTCTCCCAGCAGTTTCATGTAGATGTTGAAAAGTATGGGGGACAGAATGGAACCTTGCGGTACCCCACAGGTCAAAGGCCAGGGGTCCGAGGAGGTGTCTCCCAGCTTCACCATCTGGGAGTGACCCTCCAGGAAGGACCGGAGCCAGGACAAAGCCGTGTCCCCAAGGCCCATCCCGGAGAGTCGCCCCAGAAGGATAACATGGTCAATGGTATTGAATGCCGCTAAGATGCCCAAAAGAACCAGCAGGGTCACACTCCCCCTGTCCAGTTCCCTACGGAGGTCATCCACCATGGCGACCACGCCATCTCAGTGCCGTGACCAGGCCTGAAACCCGACTGTGACTGGTCCAGGTAACTGATGTCATCAAGGAAACCCTGGAGCCGAGTGGCGACCACCCACTCCAACACCTTGCCCAAAAAAGGGAGGTTGGAGATTGGCCTGTAGTTGCTCAAGACCGTGGAGTCAAGGGAGGCCATTTTCAGGAGTGGTCTCACCACAGCCTGTTTCAAACCAGTGGAAATGTCCCCTGCTCCAATGATGCATTAATGATCAGGGTGGTCCACGCCTTAGTCACTTCCAGATTGGACTACTGTAATGCACTCTACGTGGGGCTGCCCTTGAAAACGGCCCGAAAATGCCAATTGGTCCAACGGGCGGGCCAAGTTGTTAACTGGTGCTCCTTAGAGGGAGCGGTCAACTCTTCTGTGTAAGAAGCTCCACTGGCTGCCATTCATTTTCCAGTCCCAATTCAAGGTGCAGGTTCTCACCTACAAAGCCCTAAATGGTTTGAGACCCGCCTACCTGCGTGACCGCATCTATGTGTACGAACCCACACGATCTCTTCGCTCATCTGCTTATGATCCCACCGGCATAACAAGCGCGATTGGTGAGGACGAGGGATAGGGCTTTCTCGGTGGTGGCCCCTCGACTCTGGAACTCTCTCCCTAGGGACATCAGGCAGGCCCCGTCGCTAGCAATCTTTAGGAGGAGCTTGAAAACGTGGTTGTTCCAGTGTGCCTTCCCAGAATAAGGAAACTCCTAGCATTATGTCCCAACGCACTTTATCAGAGATTCTGGATACCTGTATGCCCATCCCCCTCCAAACACCCCARCTTGCCATGCCCAGCATTTTTAATTTTTAATTATTACATTTGGCCCGGCCATTGTTTTTAATTGCGTCATTGGGTGTTGTTAATGTTATTGCTTTGTTTTTTGAGTTATTGCATTGTTGTTGTTGCTGTTGTTTTTATTGTTGTATTTGGGCTCGGCCTCTTGTAATCCGCACCAAGTCCTTCGGGAGATGGTAGCGGGGTACAAATAAAGGATTATTATTATTATTATTATTATTATTATTATTATTACTACTACTACTATTATTATTATCAACACACACAAATCCCACTGTGTCTAGTTCTGAGTGCAACAATTGAACAGAGGTGTTGACTCTAAGTTGGAATGTATCCCACTGACCATGAGGAAGAACTTCCTGACCATAATAGCTGTTCAGCAGTGGAACTGCTGGGCATGTTTAGCCTAAAGATGAGAAGGCTGAGAAGAGACATGATAGCCATGTATAAATATGTGAGAAGAAGTCATAGGGAGGAGGGAGTGAACTTGTTTTCTGCTGCCCTGGAGACAAGGACACAATGGAACAATGGCTTCAAACTACAAGAAAGGAAATTCCACCTGAACATTAGGAAGAACTTCCTGACTATGAGAGCCATTCAGCAGTGGAACTCCCTGCCCCGGAGTGTGGTGGAGGATCCTTCTTTGGAGGCTTTTAAACAGAGGCTGGATGGACATCTGTTGGGGGTGCTTTGAATGTGATTTTCCTCCTTCTTGGCAGAAAGGGCTTGGACTGGATGGCCCACGAGGTCTCTTCCATCTCTAGGATTCTATGATTCTATGAACGCTCTGCCCCGGAGTGTGGCGGAGGGTCCTTCTTTGGAGGCTTTGAAACCAGCTTGAAATCATCTGGATAAGAATCAAGGGAACTGGGACTCAAAAAGATCTTGTCGTAGGCGTCTGTTACAGATCTCCAAGCCAGGATGAAGAACTTGATGAAGCCTTCTGCCAACAGTTGACCAAACAGGCACAAATTAGAAATATGCCTATGACTACTACATCCCCATCTTTAATGTCCCTGGCAAGCCTTGAGCTCGTTTTGTGCTTTAGCCTTGCAAACCTTCTCCCTACAAGAGTTGGCTATTTGTTTGAATTCTTCTTTGGTGATTTCTCCCTTTTCCCACTTCTTGTGCATGTTTATTTGGAGTCTCAGCCCAGTTAGAATTTCTTTGGACATCCATTCTGGCTTCTGGCTACAAGAAAAGAGATTCCACCTGAACATTAGGAAGAACTTCCTGACTGTGAGAGCTGTTCGGCAGTGGAATTCTCTGCCCCGGAGTGTGGTGGAGGGTCCTTCTTTGGAGGCTTTGAAACAGAGGCTGGATGAACATCTGTCAGGGGTGCTTTGAATGTGATTTTCCTGCTTCTTGGCAGAATGGGGTTGGACTGGATGGCCCACGAGGTCTCTTCCATCTCTAGGATTCTATGATTCTAGGGAAAGGGACTTGGTCACAGGGCTCCTCACTTCTGCTACACTTTGTGTTGTGAACGTAAAGGATTTTGAGAGCTGCATTTAAGGAAAGCTTGACATTCTCTGTATTAAGACTCACCTGGGGAGAAGAGTACCAAGGCCTGGAGTAGAACGTACTCGGCTTCGTGAAGCTTGAGTTTCCGCAAACTGACATGAAACTTCAGCAGCGGCTCCAGGTAGATTTGCTGCAAACCAGCTGGAAGAGGAAAGAGAAGGCGAGGTGACACAGTATGCTTGTATGTTGGGTAAGAGTCCCTTATTAGAAAGGACATCTCCGGTGTGAGAGTTGGAAAGCTTTCGCCTTGATATAAGTCAGGCCTTCATAATGGGAGGATTATGTAATACTAGCTGTCCTCTGCCACATGTTGCTGTGGCCCAGGTGGTGTATATGTGCTTTGTGTGTGTATATATTTGTGTATATGTGTATATACGTGTGTGTGTGTGTGTGTATGTGTGTGTGTGTGTGTGTGTGTGTGTGTGTGTGTGTGTGTATATATATATATATATATATATATATATATATAAATGAATAAATGTAATGTTCGTTTGTGGGATTAACACACAGAACTCAAAAACCACTGAACGAATTGACACCAAATCTGGATAGCATACACCTAACATCCCAATGTATGTCCTCCACTCAAAAAATTGATTTTGTCATTTGGGAATTGTAGATGCTGGGATTCATAGTACCCCTACAATCAAAGAGCACTCTGAACTCCACCAATGATGGAGTGGCACACAGAGCTCCCATGACCAACAGAAAATACTGGAAGGATTTGGTGGGCATTGACCTTGAGTTTGGGAGTTATAGTTCACCTACATCCAGGATCTGGACCAAACTTGCCACAAATACTCCATATGCCCGAATATGAACACAGATGGAGTTTGGGGAAATAGACCTTGACAGTTAGGAGTTGTAGTTGCTGCGATTTATAGTTCACCTACAATCAAAGAGCATTCTGAATCCCACCAATGACAGAATTGGGGCAAACTTCCCACACAGAACCTCCATGACCAACAGAAAATACTTAAGGCCATCCAGTCCAACTCTCTTCACCAGGGCAAGAAAACGTAATCAAAGCCCTCCTGACAAAGAGCCATCCAGCCGTTCAGCAGTGGAACTCTCTGTGTAGTGGAGGCTCCTTCTTTGGAAGCTTTTAAACAGAGGCTGGATGGCCATCTGTCAGAGGTGCTTTGAATGCGATTTTCAGGGACAGGGAGCATACTACTCCTCTGTTGCACCAGCTCCACTGGCTACCAGATTGCTACCAGGCACAATTCAAAGTGCTGGCGTTAGCCTATATAGCCCTAAACGGTTCTGGTCCTACTTAACTCTTCGAACGCATCTCCTCCTATGAACCGACTAGGACACTAAGATCATCTGGGGAGGCCCTGCTCTCGGTCCCGCCTGCATCACAGGCGCGCTTCGTGGGGATGAGAGACAGGGCCTTCTCAGTGGTGGCCCCTCGGCTGTGGAACGCCCTGCCTGCAGATATCAGATCGGCCCCCTCCCTGCTGGCGTTTCGGAGGAAAGTGAAGACCTGGCTGTTTGAACAAGCATTTGACTAAACAGTGTAACTGAACATAGGAATATGGAATAATGGATGACGAGACTGGATTCTGATTTTACTGTTGAGGCGCTAATGATTGTTATACTGATGTTTAATGATTTATGTGATAATTGTTTTTAATTGCCCTATACTTGTTTTGTGATATTGTGTATCAGAGGCGGCCCTAGGTAATTTTCAACGGTAAGCAAACAGTATTTTGGCATGCCCCCCCCCCCAACCAATCATTGATATATATTTTCTGTTTGTCGTGGGAGTTCTGTGTGCCATATTTGGTTCAATTCCATCATTGGTGGAGTTCAGAATGCTCTTTGATTGTAGGTGAACTATACATCCCAGTAACTACACTTGCCGCACTTGCTCCCTTGCCTGGCTCGCTTTGGGGAGGCGTGCCTGAAGACCCTGGCGTGTGCACCAAAAGTCACCTCTTCTCCTGACTTTCTCCTCAGCCATTGGGACCGAGAGAGAGAGAGAGAGAGAGAGAGAGGTGGAGATGCCCACCTTTCCTGAAGGTAGGCGCAAAAACAAAGGAGGGAGCGGAGGTGGGAGATACCTCCAGCCGGAGGGGCCTCTCTCTCTCTCTCTCTCTCTTGGTCCCAATGGCTGAAGAGAAAGTCAGGAGAAGAGGCGACTTTTGGTGCGCACGCTGGGGTCTTCAGACCTGCCTCCGGACCCGAAGCGGGCCAGGCGTGGCGGCTCCGCCCCTTGGCCCACCCGCGGATTGGGGAGAGGAGAGGAGGCGGGTGGAGCACCAGGGGATCAGAAAAGGGAGCCGGTCATGGGGAAGGGATTGAACGTGGAGAACGATTGAGCGCACCTGGTGGCCGGGTGGAGCAGGAACGAGAGGGGCTAGGCGAGGCTCAAGGGCCCGGCCCCTTTGGGAAGAGGATCGCCTGGCAGTGAGGCAAGAAAGCCGAGGCTCCCCCCGGACTGCTAGGGCTGTTGTGAGCTGAGGGGGCGCTCCTCAAGTGGCGGTCGAGGGGCATTTACAGAGGGCCTCTGCGCCCCTGGCAAAAAAAAGTGTTCTGCGACCGCTTACTTCGCGTAATGGACGAGCCGCCCCTGTTTGTACTGATGTTGTTCACCGCTTTGAGTCGCCTGTGGGCTGAGAAAAGCGGTATAGAAATAAAATAAATAAATAAATAATTTTTCCTGCTTCTTGGCAGAATGGGGTTGGACTGGATGGCCCATGAGGTGTCTTCCAACTCTAGGATTCTCTGATTCTACGACTTAAATAAAGAAAGTCACAGGAGTGTGTCTTGCTCCCAGTCATATGATGGCTCCCATTCATACCTGGTTCTCAGCTCTAAGCAGAGGCTGAATGGCCATCTGTTGGAAAGGCTTTGATGGTGTCATTCTTTATGGCAGAAGGGAGTTGGACTGGGTGGCTCTTGGGGTCTCTTCCAAGTCTAGGATTCTCTGCCCCTCCTGTGACTTACCCAGGGCACCGTCTTGTACGGTGTAGCAGTGTTGGCCACATTCCCAAACTTTGGTTTCCTCATTAAAGATTGTGTTGAACTGGATCTGACAGATTTCGAGGGTTGTCCCTTTGAGGAGTGAGATCTGATCATCGATCGGCAGAACTCTAGTTGAAGGAGGGACAGACACACAAAAAAGAGGATTATAAGTGGTTGCGAGAAAGCAACGTACAACTGTCTACTAACACACTTTTTTCACGTCAGGAACAACTTGAGAAACTGCAAGTTGCCTTGGGTGTGAGAGAATTGGTCGTCTACAAGAACGTTGCCCAGAGGACGCCCATTTTTTTTAATATTTTACCATCCTTGTTTTCCCTGGAGACTAGGACGTGGAACAATGGCTTCAAACTACAAGAGAGGAGATTCCATCTGAACATGAGGAAGAACTTCCTGACTGTGAGAGCCGTTCAGGAGTGGAACTCTCTGCCCCGGAGTGTGGTGGAGGCTCCTTCTTTGGAAGCTTTTAAACAGAGGCTGGATGGCCATCTGTCAGGGGTGATTTGAATGCAATATTCCTGCTTCTTGGCAGAATGGGGTTGGACTGGATGGCCCATGAGGTCTCTTCCAACTTTTTGATTCTTTGATTCTATGATTCTATGATTCTCTCATGCCCCCGCATGGGAAGCTGGAGCTGACAGAGGGAGCTCATCTGCATTCTCCCCGGATTCAAACCTGCGCCCTGTCGGACCCACTAAGAAGAAAATCCAACAAATGCTCCATTCAGCAAAGGACAAGAGGGATCCTCTCACCTCTTCAGGAGTCTATCGCATACCATGCAGCTGTGGACAAGTCTACATAGGGACCACCAAACGCAGCAACATTGACCAGGCAAGCAGTTTATTGAGGTATATAGTTGGCAAAGTAAAATTAGCAAAAACAAAACATAGGGTTAGGCAAAACAAGATCCATAAGTATAACGATCCATGAAACACATAAAAGAAACAATGAAACAAAGTAGATTGAAAAATCCAATACACAAATCAGGAGCTTGGCAAAAACATGAAACTAAGAGCACTTGAAAGCAATACTGTCATGAAATTCCAATGTTGACCCAACTGAGGCAACTCTTTCCCATGAATCAATATAAGGCTTTTCCAGATCCCAAAACCAAAAGGAAAGCATTTCTCTTGACCTTACCATCAGATAAAGGTTTTTTTTTATCTCCCTTTTCTTAGAATCATAGAATCATAGAGTTGGAAGAGACCTCGTAGCTGTTTACAAAAGCTTTGCTACACTCTCATTAACTTGACTCTCATTGACCTCGGCACTTGACAAATCATCTTGAGAACACAGAAATGCTGGACCACTCCAACAACCACCATGTCAGACTACACAGAGAAGCCACTGAAATCCACAAGCATGTGGACAATTTCAACAGAAAGGAGGAAACCATGAAAATGAACAAAATCTGGCTACCAGTATTAAAAACTCTAAAATTACAACAGCAAAACAACAGAAAGGAAACAACCAGGCACATCTTAACACCTCTCAACAAAAGATTTTCCCAGGCTCAGCCAGGCTTTCAAATGCTAATGAAGGTGGTCAGTTGAAACATTCACACCTAGCTCCAGCAGAGAAGAGCTCTATGCCCCACCCCAGCCATTCCACAGATATATAAACCCATTTTTCCTACTTCCAACAGACCTCACTACCTCTGAGGATGCTTGCCATAGATGCAGGCGAAACGTCAGGAGAAATGCCTCTAGAACATGGCCCTATAGCCCGAAAAAACCCCACAAGAACATCTTCAGACAGTTGCTCTGAGAAAGACTGCTAGGGCCTCTCCCAGGAATGTGACATTGTGAATCGTCTAGTGCAGTGTTTCTCAACCTGGGGGTCGGGACCAGTGGGGGGGGGGGGGGGGGTCAGAAGGGTCACCCTGGACTGGATGGACTTAAGTATTTTTTGTTGGTCATGGCGGTTCTGTGTGGGAAGTTTGGCCCAATTCTGTCGTTGGTGGGGTTCAGAATGCTCTTTGATTGTAGGTGAACTATAAATCCCAGCATCTACAACTCTCAAATGTCAAGGTCTGTTTCCCCCAAACTCCACCAGTGTTCACATTTGGGCATATTCAGTATTCATGCCAAGTTTGGTACAGATCTAGCACTGTTTGAGTCCACAGTTCTCTCTGGATGTAGGTGAACTGCAACTCCCAAACTCAAGGTCAATTCCCATCAAGCCCTTCCAGTATTTTCTTTTGGTCATGGGAGTTCTGTCAGTATTAAAAAACCATCTAAAATCAGGACAGTAAATAAAGAGCAACACTCAGAAAACATGGATTCCAGACAGGAAACAATCAGGGCCAGCTAACACCCTCCCAACAAAGGATTCCCCCAGGCAGGAAGCAGCTTGTCTTTGAAGCTTCAATGCTAATCAAGGTGGCCAATTGCAACGTTCACACTTGCCTCAAACAAACAAGAGCGCTTTCTTCCACCCTGGGCATCATTCCACAGATATATCAACCTCACTTGATATATCTGGCCATGTTCCAGAAGCATTCTCTCCTGACGTTTCACCCACATCTATGACAGGCACCCTCAGAGGTTGTAAGGTCTGTTGGAAAACAGGCCTTACAACCTCTGAGGGTGCCTGCCATAGATGTGGGTGAAACATCAGGAGATAATGCTTCTGGAACATGGCCAGACAGCCTGGAAAACTCACAGCAACCTAGTGATTCCGGACATGAAAGCCTTCGACAACACAAGCTCTAGTTCGTGTCCCGTTTTTTATGAAGTCGGGCTGATAATTTTCTATGCAATTGATCACAAAAAACATAACTCATCTCGCCAGATCCAATGAATACAAAGCGACTGGGATGACAATAGGCATATCTCAATTAGCAAAGCCCCCAACGGTGAAGCTTCTGTTTACAATGCCTGCATTGCTGCGGGGAAGACGGTAAAGGAGGGTTGGAGAGATGCCGACTTTTAATGTTTGGTAGTAGTAAACAATGCAATCATAAAGCAACATGAGATGGGAAAAGTAGGGTTTTACTTCAGCCAGTCCTTGTCGCAACTCAGGGTAGTATTCACCTTACTCAAGAAACCACCACACACCACAGCTGTAGGTTTTGTAGTTTATTGAGAAAAAGCAAAATCAAAACAGAGAAATAAAGATGCAAAAGTTCAATAGGCAAAACAGAGTCTTAAATGCAAAGACAAGGTTCCCAAGATCCAAGGGCAAATAACATGAAGCATAATCCCATAGCAATGGTCAAACAAGAGTCCATGGTAGACAGGTAAAATCAGGATCAGAATCAAGTCTCAAAGAAGCCAGAAGTGTTGCGCAAAAGCCAAGGTAATTCCACAGAAGTTAATGGGTAAGAAGCAACATTGGACTGACAAGAAATGCCTGTCAGCCACATCATTAAATACGTTTCCCTGACATGAAAGCATTGCGTTGACCTTTGGCTTCCCTCTTGCTGGCAAGGCATGTGCTTCTGCGAAGCCTTAATTGCAAACGATCCTGTCTGCTCATTAATTCACCATTATCTTCAAGGCTATACAACTCCTTATCTTGGCCCAGCTGGGCCGGATCACTCTGAGAGTCTCCACCTGCACTTGTGGGATTTCACTATCTCTATCTAAAGGCACATTCCTTTCCCCGGGGAACAGGCTTGCTGTTTCTCCTTCAGAAGCCACACTATCAGCCCTGTCTGGAACATGTACAGGAATCTGTAACCCATCAGCCTCCTCGTCATCCTGCAGAAAGTCAGGATCAGAAGGCCCAGCAGGCCCAAAAGGCCCAAACAGTTCAGTTTCAGACTCAGACTGAGCCACAACACTCCTGACCTCCTTGGGCCCTCTGATGGTGCAGCAGATTAAACCGCTGAGCTGATGAACTTGCTGACCAAAAGCTCAGCGGTTTGAATCCAGGGAGCGGGGTGATCTCTCACTGTTAGCCCCAGCTTCTGCCAACCTAGCAGTTCAAAAACATGGGAGTAGATCAATAGTATTGGGGTTCAGCCTGATCCTGATCTGTGTGAACCGGATTCTCTGATAGTTTTTCCAACTGAGCAAGCTTTCCCTGACCCTGACAGTGTGGAATCTGTTGTTGATGCAGAGGTCAGCGGCGATGAAAATGAAACTCAACAGCTGGAGGAAAATGTTTTGGAAGCTAGCCGTGATATCACTAGCCGTGATATCTCTCCACCTGGGGTTTTTAATGAGGACCGAAGAGAACAGATAGTTAGAGACAGAAATGTTTCCCAGTTTCTATGAAGGTCACATCGTTTACAGGAGAGACAGGTCCAGGCTTCAAAGTCAAGGGGCGTTTCAAAGAATAGCTTCTTTGGTTTAAGAGGCCTCCTGCCGGGTGCCTCTTTAGATCAAGCAACGTTTGGGACTGTGGCTGTGCCTTGGCAGAATTCCTGTGTTTCATGGCCGGTAATCCCAGAGGCTTCTAGTTATCAAGTTCATGGTTAGTAAAAGGCTAACAGGTTCCTGGTTCTTGTATTGTGGCTTTTGAAATTTTGCTCAAGTTCAGAGATTCTACTGACTGCTGTGTTTTTCTGTGGCTTTTTGACTTTGCATTTACCTTTCTTTTGTAACCAATTTTTCATCAATAAACAAGGATTGCTTTTCCTATAGTCCAGTGTGGTGGATTTAATCTTATGGTCTCGTTTCTTGAACTGGGATGCAACAAATAGGTACCACTTCTGCGGGAAGGTAATGGCGCTCCATGCAGTCGTTCTGGTCACATGACATTGGAGTGTCTATGAACAATGCTGGCTCTTCAACTTAGAAATGGAGATGAGCATGGACACGACTAGACTTAATGTCAGGGGAAACCTTTACCTTTACTACTGTGCCCTCGTCTCCCGATCTGAAACCACTACATCTCTTACTAGGCCTAGTATCCCTCAGTAGCCATGCTACTGCCCCAACGTACCTGAAAGCCGGGATGGCCTTGGCAAACTGGATCACTTGCTGGATCATGAAAGTGCTCAAATCGGCAAAGATTGGCAGCATGGAGAAGACATCCGGCAGGACCTCCTCTGGGTAGCTTTCCAGGTAGTCTTCGGGGCTCAGAGAACAGGCCCCGTTCTGGGTCCCCCAAGGCCTCACGCTATGGATGTACAGGCGCACTGGGGGCTGACAGAGGGAGGGTTGTAAGCAGGCCTGTAGCGAGGGGGGGGGGGTTTAGGGGTTCAACCCCCCCCCCAAATGTTTCAGATTTTTTTAAAAAACCTGGTTTACTCATGAATTTTAACTGGTTAACCAAATCCCCATGCTAAGTCTATGAGATGCAAAAAATTAAGAGTCCCTCCAGAACTGCAAGCAAATATTGGCAATTTATTCACACTGTCATTACTTGCAGCAATAGCCGATGTAGTTGTTCTGGTACAGCTGTACCAGGAGCTCCAACTTTATTTGCTTTGTATTAAATGTTTGCTTGCAGTCCTAGGTTTCAGGGACTCTGCAGATAGGTGGCTTCTTTGGTTGCAGTCATAGGGCAAGTTACCTGTCCATCATTGTTAAGTTTTGGTCCCGCCCCTTGCTCAGGGCAATTGGGAAGGGAGCCATTTTTAGTTAGTCTCAGCAAGGTAAGCTTATGTATAGGATGTGTGCAAGCTTCCCCTGTACAAAAGCTTCAACCCTTAAGACCTTCCGGGGGAGAAAGGTCTTAAGAGTCTCCAAAGAATTTCCAGGAAAACAGCCCTAAAGACCAAAGAACTCCAGCTGGAGAACATCTACTGCCTTGCTGGTAGGTCCACTCGACGTTCGAGACGCAGTTCGACCCGGTAGCGGAGCCCACATCAGTAAGGGTTAGATTACAGTCAGCCTGGGAGAAGTTAAAAAGGGGATTTTCCTTTAAAGAAGAAGTTATTGAAGACAGTTGCCTGTCCTTCGTGGGCAAGATTAGGAATTCACCAGTTGCCTAAAAGCTTGGAATCATTTGCTTAACTTTACTGAAGACAAGAGAAGTTTCTGTTTGATTGTTCATTAATAAAAGACTTTGTTGTACTTCTCAAGCCATCTAAAGACTGTTTGTGGTGGAAACCTCTGAGAACTTCTCTTTAGGCCCCCTGGCTTCCGCTGGGCAAAAGTTGCACATCCTGTTCTAAAGACAATTATTTACAGGCCCAGCGCGCAACAGAACAGTAGTGAAGCAACCAAGTTTGGGGGGGGGGGGACGGTGAATGCTCTCATTAAGGAGGCCAGACTTGGTGGAGGTGGTTGACAAGGGCGGAGCTGCAGGCTATTGAAGGCTGCTCTGCCTGCTGTGCTCTTTGCTTCAGCGTGAGCTAGGAGGCAGGTTTCAACCCCCCTGAAATTTTCAACCCCCCCCAAAAAAATTTCAACCCCTCCTGAAATTTTTTCTGGCTAGGGCCCTGGTTGTAAGGAACCAAAGCCCATACTTCTTTGGCCAAGTCTAACTCAGCCTCATCCATCTATATCAGGAGTCCTCAAACTAAGGCCCGAGGGCCAGATACCCAGCCCTCACTCCGGGTCAACCTAAGTCTGAAATGACTTGAAAGCACACAACAACAACAATCCTATCTCATCAGCCAAAAGCAGGTCCACACTTCCCATTGAAATACTAATAAGTTTATATTTGTTAAAATTGTTCTTCATTTTAATTATTGTATTGTTTTTTTTTTGCACTACAAATAAGATATGTGCAGTGTGCATAGGAATTCATTCACTTTTTAAAAAAATTATAATCCGGCCCTCCAACAGTTTGCGGGACTGTGACCTGGCCCTTTGTTTAAAAAGTTTGAGGATCCCTGATCTATATTGTTATATTAAGTTTGTATGTATTTGCTTTTAATTACTATATTTCAATATTAATGTTCTGTTGCGCGCTGGGCCTGTAAATAATTAAATAGGACGTGCGACTTGAGCCCAGCAGGAAGCCAGGGCCCCCCAAAGAGAAGTTCTCAGAGGTTTTCCACCACAAATGGTCTTTAGATGGCTTGTGAAGTATAACAAAGTCCTTTATTAATGAACAATCCAACAGAAACTTCTCTTGTCTTCAAAAAGTTAAACAAATAATTCCAGGCTTTTATGCAACTGGTGGCTTCCTAATCTTGTCCACGGAGGACAGGCAATTGTCTTCAATCACTAATTCTTTGCTTTAAAGGAAAATCCCCTTTTTAACTTCTCCCAGGCTGACTGTAATCTAATTCTTACTGATGTGGGCTCTGCTACCGGGTCGAATTGCGTCTCGAACGCCGAGTGGACCTACCAGTAAGGCTAGTAGATTCTCCAGCTGGAGTTCTTTGGTCTTTAGGGTTGTTTCCCTGGAAATCTTTGGAGACTCTTAAGACTGTTCTCTGATAAAGTAAAAACAGAACATCCTGGAAAATTGCAATTCTTTCCCTTTCGGGACTAAGTATGTCTGGTACTGGGCTACCACTGGAATGAGATTGAGCTCACTTGGTAGTGGGTGAACTGGGAGAAGCTGGAGTCAAAGTTTTTCTGATGTGCTTCGGAGAGGATCTCAATCAGCTGCTCCTGTTCCACCGTGAGGCCGGCACCCTTGTCTGGTTCCTCTTTAGGACTCTGCTCCTGTTTCTGCTTTCGATCCCGCAGCTTCCGGCGGAGACGCAAGGCTTCGTCGGACATAATCACTGTCACGAAATATGATACATGGCTTGAATGGAATTACATGAAAGATGTATGATAGTGGCCTAATTGGGCTGAAGACAATTCTAAAATATCGACGCCTGGAAAACAACTACACTCATGGACTGTAATTAAAAGTTGCTCATGAGAACTGTGACAATGATTAACTCTTGAACTTTACATTATCAGAGACAATGGCTCTTTAAGTTAAGGAGAATATCGCTATATAAGAGACCTTATTACAAACCAAAAAGTGTGGCAGACCGGAGGAGTCTGGCTCACCCACTGTAATTAAAAGTTGCTGATGAGAACTGTGACAATGATTAACTCTTGAACTTTACATTACACTGTTCGACGGAGAAAAAGTTGCGGGCCTGAAAATAGTTGTTCTTTTATGCCTGTGGAACTCGCTTCCTGGGGAAGTAAGAACAGCGAACACACTCCTCTCTTTCAGGAAAAAACTGAAAACATGGCTGTGGGACCAAGCGTTTGGTCAATCGGGTAGGTAAAGAAAGGATTGATATGGCCTAGGAAATGTCTAATGGAACGGAATCTGGAACCCGGAAGACGAATGCTGAACGCGTGAATCGTTTCATATAATGTGGTTTGTTTACTTCGTGTGCTTAACTGTAATAATTGTTTTTAATTGTTTTAATGATGACTTTATTATGTGTAACTGTAACTGTATAGGCATCAAATGGCGCATTGTTGTGTAAGCCGCATATTTATACATGGCTATCATATCCCCTCTCAGCCTTCTCTTCTTCAGGCTACACATGCCCAGCTCCTTAAGCCGCTCCTCATAGGGCTTGTTCTCCAGACCTTTTATCATTTTATGCGAGTTGTAGTTACTGGGATATATAGTTCACCTACAATCAAAGAGCATTCTGAACTCCACCAATGATGGAATTGAACCAAATATGGCACCCAGAACTTCCATGACGAACAGAATATATATATCCGTTACTTTTACCCCGCCCTTCTCAACCCCGAGGGGGGACTCAGGGCGGCTTACACAAAGTAACGGAAATAAATAATAATAATAATAATAATAATAATAATAATAATAATAATAATAATAATAAATTTCCTGGCAGTTCGACCCCTGTTGCAAGTACCAAGTGGAGTACAATGCGTACAAACTCTCTTGCCTGCTGCTGCATATATGGTGTATTTTTCGGGTTTTTAAGTCTGTTCCACTGGTTTTGTGTGTGTGCGTGTGTGTTTACGGGTGATGGACACTCGTTGGCCTGATAGGTGTATTGTATCCAAATTTGGTGTCAATTCGTCCAGTGGTTTTTGAGTTATGTTAATCCTACAAACGAACATTACATTTTTATTTATATAGATTCCTTCCTGCTTACCAAGGAATACTGAGGATTGGGTGCAAGTCTTGTGCGTGGCACACATCCGCACCGCCTGCTTTCCTCCTCCTCCTCCTCCTCCTCCCTCCTGTGTCTAAATCATAAACTGACTGCCGCACTGTACTCGTCTCTGAAAGCTGCAATGCATCATCTTTCATGGCTCTGCTTCTCCTCCCTCCTCCATCTCTCTTCTCTTTGCTGCCTCGGGGGACACTCAGGAGATCTTGTGTCCTGCATTTCACCTCCATTAGGTTATTATTCTATGGGGCAGAGGGCCCTCAAGGGCGGGAGGGAGCCGAGAAAAGAGGAAGGCCAGGCTTCAGCGTCTTTGCAACCGGATTAGGAATCAATCCCTTTTGATCTGCCTTCTGTCTTTTAATTCCTTATCTTTTTACAGGAATCTGATCTGTATTTTGGGCCAGCGGATGCCGGGGAAATGCCAGCTGGCCGGGCCCTTTGCATCCATACTGCTTTCTCTCGGTGCCAAGTGGGGATCCCTGGGGAGTGGATTCCGCTGTGTTGAGAGTCTTCTCTTCCTCCTCCTCCTCTTCCCTCCTCCTTCTCTGCAGCTGCTGCCACCTCTCAATACCAAAGGATGGCTTTGGAAAAGCACAAAAAGGCAGTGAGCAGAACTCCACCACTCCAAGCACTGTTTCACCTGCTTTGGGGCTACTTTCTATGCCAGGGGTCCTCAAACTACGGCCCGGGGGCCGGATACGGCCCTCTTAGGTAATTTACCCGGCCCTCGCTCAGGGTTAACCTAAGTCCAGGGGCGGTCAACCCATTACGCAAAGTAAGCATTTACAGTATAGTTGATTTTGCCCAGGGGTGCTCTTAAGGCGCTCTTGGAGGAAAATAGACCTTAGAATCATAGAATCAAAGAGTTGGAAGAGACCTCATGGGCCATCCAGTCCAACCCCCTGCCAAGAAACAGGAATATTGCATTCAAAGCACCCCTGACAGATGGCCATCCAGCCTCTGTTTAAAAGCTTCCAAAGAAGGAGCCTCCACCACACTCCGGGGCAGAGAGTTCCACTGCTGAACGGCTCTCACAGTCAGGAAGTTCTTCCTCATGTTCAGATGGAATCTCCTCTCTTGTAGTTCGAAGCCATTGTTCCATTGAGTCCTAGTCTCCAAGGAAGCAGAAAACAAACTTGCTCCCTCCTCCCTGTGGCATCCTCTCACATATTTATACATGGCTATCATATCTCCTCTCAGCCTTCTCTTCTTCAGGCTAAACATACCCAGCTCCTTAAGCCGCTCCTCATAGGGCTTGTTCTCCAGACCCTTGATCATTTTAGTCGCTCTCCTCTGGACACATTCCAGCTTGTCAATATCTCTCTTGAATTGTGGTGCCCAGAATTGGACACAATATTCCAGGTGTGGTCTAACCAAGGCAAAATAGAGCATGGGGAGCATGACTTCCCTAGATTTAGACACTATGCTCCTATTGATGCAGGCCAAAATCCCATTGGCTTTTTTTGCCACCACATCACATTGTTGGTTCATGTTTAACTTGTTGTCCACGAGGACTCCCAGATCTTTTTCACACGTACTGCTCTCGAGCCAGGCATCAAAAGTTATTATTGTGATGATTACTATTATCCTAGATTTGGAAGGGACCACAACTCTATAAAGAACTAACTGTCCCCTGCCACGCATTGCCCTCTTAGGTAATTTACCTGGCCCTCACTCAGGGTTAACCTAAGTCCAGGGGCGGTCAACCCATTACGCAAAGTAAGCATTTGCAGTATAGTTGATTTTGCCCAGGGGTGCTCTTGAGGCGCTCTTGGAGGAAAATAGACCTATAGAATCATAGAGTTGGAAGAGACTTCATGGACCATCCAGTCCAACCCCCTGCCAAGAAGCAGGAAAATTGCATTCAAAGCACCCCTGACAGATGGCCATCCAGCCTCTGTTTAAAAGCTTCCAAAGAAGGAGCCTCCACCACACTCCGGGGCAGAGAGTTCCACTGCTGAACAGCTCTCACAGTCAGAATGGAACAATGGAAAATGATACTGGATTGTGGTTTTGACGATGAGACGACGCGGAATGGCTTTCGTAGTAATGATGATGTTTTTTGATGATGATGTTTTTTGTTAATGATGGATTGTGGATTATTTTATATTGTGTCTTGTATTTTGAACCTTGTTCTTTCTATGTTGTACACCGCTGTGAGTCGCCCCTGGGCTGAGAACAGCGGTATATAAGCAAAGTAAATAAATAAATAAAAAATATATATAAGCAAAGTAAATAAATAAATAAATAAAATATATAAGCAAAGTAAATAAATAAATAAATAAAATATATAAGCAAAGTAAATAAATAAATAAAATATATAAGCAAAGTAAATAAAAAAATAAAAAAATATATGAGCAAAGTAAATAAATAAATAAATAAAATATATAAGCAAAGTAAATAAATAAAAAAAAATATGAGCAAAGTAAATAAATAAATAAATAAATAAAATATATAAGCAAAGTAAATAAATGTTCAGATGGAATCTCCTCTCTTGTAGTTTGAAGCCATTGTTCCATTGCGTCCTAGTCTCCAGGGAAGCAGAAAACAAGCTTGCTCCCTCCTCCCTGTGGCTTCCTCTCACATATTTATACATGGCTATCATATCCCCTCTCAGCCTTCTCTTCTTCAGGCTAAACATGCCCAGCTCCTTAAGCCGCTCCTCATAGGGCTTGTTCTCCAGACCTTTTATCATTTTGGTCGCTCGTTGCTAGGATGTATAGTTCACCTACATCAAAGAGCATTCTGAACTCCACCAATGATGGAATTGAACCAAATATGGCACACAGAACTCCCACGACGAACAGAAAATATATATCAATTATTGGTTGGGGGGGCGCCAAAATACTGTTTGCTTATTGTGTCCAATTCTGGGCACCACGAACTGGAATGTGTCCAGAGGAGGGTGACTAAAATGATCAAGGGTCTGGAGAACAAGCCCTATGAGGAGCGGCTTAAGGAGCTGGGCATGTTTAGCCTGAAGAAGAGAAGGCTGAGAGGGGATATGATAGCCATGTATAAATATGTGAGAGGAAGCCACAGGGAGGAGGGAGCAAGCTTGTTTTCTGCTTCCCTGGAGACTAGGACGCGGAACAGTGGCTTCAAACTACAAGAGAGGAGATTCCATCTGAACATGAGGAAGAACTTCCTGACTGTGAGAGCCGTTCAGCAGTGGAACTCTCTGCCCCGGAGTGTGGTGGAGGCTCCTTCTTTGGAAGCTTTTAAACAGAGGCTGGATGGCCATCTGTCGGGGGTGATTTGAATGCAATATTCCTGCTTCTTGGCAGAATGGGGTTGGACTGGATGGCCCAGGAGGTCTCTTTCAACTCTTTGATTCTATTATTCTATGAGCACCAACCCCCCGAGTTGGACACAACTAGACTTAATGTCAGGGAAAATGTTTACCTTACCTATATCTGTCCAAGGTGGGAGAAAGAACTCTTGTCTGTTGGAGGCAAATGTGAATGTTGCAATTGGCCACCTTGAATAGCATTGAATAGCCTTGCAGCTGCCAAGCCAATGAGTGAGGGTATCTGCATAGAGGTCTGTTGGAAATGAGGCAAGTGGACTCTATATATATCTGTGGAATAATGTCCAGGGTGGGAGAAAGAACTCTTGTCTGTTGGATGCAAGTGTGAATGTTGCCATTGGCCCTGATTGATAGGGGTTAGTTGGTCCTCCCAATAAAGAATTCCCCCAGGCAGTAAGCAGCCAGGCTTTGAAGCTCCACAGGGAAGTCGTTGAAATCCACAAGCATGTGGAGAATTTCCACAGAAAGGAGGAATCAGGACAGTAAATAAATAGAAACGCTCAGACACAGGGAAATTCCAGACAGGAAACAATCAGGGCCAACTAACTCCTCCCAACAAAGGATTCTCCCAGCCACTCTTTCATGCTACATAGAGAAGCCGTTGAAATCCACACGTATGTGGACAATTTCAACCGAAAGGAGGGATCAGGACAGTAAATAAAGAGTAACACTCAGAAATGGAAATTCTAGACAGGAAACAATCAGGGCCAGCTAACACCTCCCAACAAAGGATTCTCCCAGGCAGGAAGCAGCCAGGCTTTCAAGCTGCAAGGCCATTCAATGCTAATCAAGGTTAATAAATGCAACATTCACACCTGCCTCAAACAGACAAGAGTTCTTTCTCCCACCCTGGACATCATTCCAAAGATATATAAACCCCACTTGCCTAGATTCCAACGGACCTTACAACCTGTGAGGGTGCCTGCCATAGATGTGGGTGAAATGTCAGGAGCGAATGCTTCTGGAACATGGCCAGACAGCCTGGAAAACTCACAGCAGCCCAATGATAGAAGAGTTGAAAGAGACCTTCAAGGGCCATCCGGTCCAACCCCCTTTTTGACAGTCAGGAATATACAATCCAAGTCCTCCTGACAGATGGCCATTCATCCTCTGCTTAAAAACCTCCAGAGAAGCAGAGTCCCATGGACTCCCAGGCAGCATATTACTCTGCCAAAGAGCTCTCATCATCAGGAGGTTCTTCCTAAGGTTTAGGTGGCATCTCTTCTCCTTTGAATCCATTGTGTCCTAGTCTCCAAAGCAAATATGGCACCTCCTCAACATGATTATTTTCCTGACAGGTTCCCAGACCTTTGCTCCCATCAGATTCAGCCTCCATGTTGATGCCGCATCTTGTGCTACTTACTGTCCTTCCTCATCCCTGCAGCCAGGCATTTCTGGTAGCGGCAGGCCTGACACTGCCGTCTCTTGGCTTTGGTGATGGTACAACTGCTGGTAAAGGGGCACGTAAACTGAACCCCCTTGATGACCGACCGCCTGCGAGACACAAAGGGAAAAACACAATGAGACTGCCTCCTTGATGAAGGCTATTGTTAACATCTAGGACGGCGGTTCTCAACCTGGGGGTCGCAACCCCCAGGGGGGTCGGCTAGCCATTTCGGAGGGGTCGTGAGGCCGCCTCCATTGGCCTCGCCACAAGGGCGTGGGCCAGGTGAGGGCTCATTCATGCGATGCCTGGCCTCACCATCCGGCGAGGGCATGAGATGGCAAGGGTCCTCGGCGCGAGGCCTGACCTGGCGCAAAGCACCCTCGCCCACCTCGCACTTTCACCATCCAGTGAGGGCGCGAGGCGGGTGAGGGGTCCTTGGCGCGAGGCCTGGCCTGGCGCAAAGCCCCTTCGCCTGCCTTGCACTTTTGCCATCCAGCGAGGGTGCGAGGCGGGCGTGAGGTTTGGCCTCGCGCAAAGCCCCCTTGCCTGCCTCGTGCTTTTGCCATCCAGCGAGGGTTCGAGGCAGGCAAGGGGTCCTCAGTACGAGGTCTGGCCTTTCACAAAGCCCCCTTGCCTACCTCACGCTTTTGCCATCCAGAGGGGGTTCGAGGCGGCAAGGGGTCCTCGGCACAAGGTCTGGCCTTGCACAAAGCCCCCTCGCCTGCCTCGTGCTTTTGCCATCCGGCAAGGGTTCGAGGCGGCGAGGGGTCCTCGGCACGAGGTCTGGCCTTGCACAAAGCCCCCTCGCCTGCCTCGTGCTTTTGCCATCCGGCGAGGGTTCGAGACGGGCGAGGGGTCCTCAGTACGAGGTCTGACCTTTCACAAAGCCCCCTCGCCTGCCTCGCGCTTTTGCCATCCAGCGAGGGTTCAAGGCAGGTGAGGGGTCCTTGGCATGAGGTCTGGCCTTGCACAAAGCCCCCTCGCCTGCCTCGCGCTTTTACCATCCGGCAAGGGTTCGAGGTGGCAAGGGGTCCTCAGCACAAGGTCTGGCCTTGCACAAAGCCCCCTCGCCTGCCTCGTGCTTTTGCCATCCGGCAAGGGTTCGAGGCGGCGAGGGGTCCTCAGCACGAGGTCTGGCCTTGCACAAAGCCCCCTCGCCTTCCTCGTGCTTTTGCCATCCGGCAAGGGTTCGAGGCGGCGAGGGGTCCTCAGCACGAGGTCTGGCCTTGCACAAAGCCCCCTCGCCTTCCTCGTGCTTTTGCCATCCGGCAAGGGTTCGAGGCGGCGAGGGGTCCTCAGCACGAGGTCTGGCCTTGCACAAAGCCCCCTCGCCTGCCTCGTGCTTTTGCCATCCGGCAAGGGTTCGAGGCGGCGAGGGGTCCTCAGCACGAGGTCTGGCCTTGCACAAAGCCCCCTCGCCTTCCTCGTGCTTTTGCCATCCGGCAAGGGTTCGAGGCGGCGAGGGGTCCTCGGCACGAGGTCTGGCCTTGCGCAAAGCCCCCTCGCCTGCCTTGTGCTTTTGCCATCCGGCGAGGGTTCGAGGCGGGCGAGGGGTCCTCAGCATGAGGTTGGCCTTGTGCAAAGCTCCCTCACCTGCCTCGTGCTTTTACCATCCGGCGAGGGTTCGAGGTGGTGAGGGGTCCTTGGCACGAGGTCTGGCCTTGCACAAAGCCCCCTCGCCTGCCTCGCGATTTTGCCATCCAGCGAGGGTTTGAGGCGGGCAAGGGGTCCTCGGCACGAGGTCTGGCCTTGCGCAAAGCCCCCTCGCCTGCCTCGTGCTTTTGCCATCCAGCGAGGGTTCGAGGCAGGTGAGGGGTCCTTGGCATGAGGTCTGGCCTTGCACAAAGCCCCCTCGCCTGCCTCGCGCTTTTACCATCCGGCGAGGGTTCGAGGTGGCAAGGGGTCCTCAGCACAAGGTCTGGCCTTGCACAAAGCCCCCTCGCCTGCCTCGTGCTTTTGCCATCCGGCAAGGGTTCGAGGCGGCGAGGGGTCCTCGGCACGAGGTCTGGCCTTGCACAAAGCCCCCTCGCCTGCCTCGTGCTTTTGCCATCCGGCAAGGGTTCGAGGCGGCGAGGGGTCCTCAGCATGAGGTCTGGCCTTGCACAAAGCCCCCTCGCCTTCCTCGTGCTTTTGCCATCCGGCGAGGGTTTGAGGCGGGCGAGGAGTTCTCTGCACATGGTCTGGCCTTGTGCAAAGCCCCCTCGCCTGCCTTGTGCTTTTGCCATCCGGCGAGGGTTCGAGGCGGGCGAGGGGTCCTCAGCATGAGGTCTGGCCTTGTGCAAAGCTCCCTCACCTGCCTTGTGCTTTTACCATCCGGCAAGGGTTCGAGGCAGCGAGGGGTCCTCGGCACGAGGTCTGGTCTTGCACAAAGCCCCCTTGCCTGCCTCATGCTATTGCCATCCGGCGAGGGTTCGAGGTGGCTGAGGGGTCCTCAGTACGGGGTCTGGCCTCGCTCAAAGCCCCCTTGCCTGCCTCGTGCTATTGCCATCCAGCGAGGGTTCGAGGCGGCCGAGGGGTCCTCAGTACGGGGTCTGGCCTCGCTCAAAGCCCCCTCGCCTGCCTCGCGCTTTTGCCATCCAGCGAGGGTTTGAGGCGGGCGAGGGGTCCTCGGCACGAGGTCTGGCCTTGCGCAAAGCCCCCTCGCCTGACTCGTGCTTTTGCCATCCAGCGAGGGTTCGAGGCAGGCGAGGGGTCCTCAGTACGAGGTCTGGCCTTGCGCAAAGCCCCCTCGCCTGCCTCGCGCTTTTGCCATCCGGCAAGGGTTCGAGGCGGCGAGGGGTCCTCAGCACGAGGTCTGGCCTTGCACAAAGCCCCCTCGCCTGCTTCGTGCTTTTGCCATCCAGCAAGGGTGTGAGGTGGACGAGGGGTCCTTAGCGTGAGGTCTGGCCTCGCTCAAAGCCCCCTCGCCTGCCTCGCGCTTTTGCCATCCAGCGAGGGTTTGAGGCGGGCGAGGGGTCCTCGGCACGAGATCTGGCCTTGCGCAAAGCCTCCTCGCCTGCCTCGTGCTTTTGCCATCCGGCAAGGGTTCGAGGTGGCAAGGGGTCCTCGGCATGAGGTCTGGCCTTGCACAAAGCCCCCTCGCCTGCCTCGCGCTTTTGCCATCCGGCAAGGGTTCGAGGCGGCGAGGGGTCCTCGGCACAAGGTCTGGCCTTGCACAAAGCCCCCTCACCTGCCTCGTGCTTTTGCCATCCGGCGAGGGTTTGAGGCGGGCGAGGAGTTCTCGGCACATGGTCTGGCCTTGCGCAAAGCCCCCTCGCCTGACTCGTGCTTTTGCCATCCGGCGAGGGTTCGAGGCGGGCGAGGGGTCCTTGGCATGAGGTCTGGCCTTGCGCAAAGCCCCCTTGCCTGCCTCGTGCTTTTGCCATCCAGCGAGGGTTTGAGGCGGGCGAGGAGTTCTCGGCACATGGTCTGGCCTTGCGCAAAGCCCCCTTGCCTGCCTCGTGCTTTTGCCATCCAGCGAGGGTTCGAGGCGGTGAGGGGTCCTCGTCACGAGGTCTGGCCTTGTGCAAAGCCCCTTCGCCTGCCTCGTGCTTTTGCCATCCAGCGAGGGTTCGAGGCGGTGAGGGGTCCTCGGCACGAGGTCTGGCCTTGCGCAAAGCCCCCTCGCCTGACTCGTGCTTTTGCCATCCGGCGAGGGTTCGAGGCGGGCGAGGGGTCCTTGGCATGAGGTCTGGCCTTGCGCAAAGCCCCCTTGCCTGCCTCGTGCTTTTGCCATCCAGCGAGGGTTCGAGGCGGTGAGGGGTCCTCGGCACGAGGTCTGGCCTTGCACAAAGCCCCCTCGCCTGCCTCGTGCTTTTGCCATCCGGCAAGGGTTCGAGGCGGCGAGGGGTCCTCGGCACGAGGTCTGGCCTTGCACAAAGCCCCCTCGCCTGCCTCGTGCTTTTGCCATCCGGCAAGGGTTCGAGGCGGCGAGGGGTCCTCGGCACAAGGTCTGGCCTTGCACAAAGCCCCCTCGCCTGCTTCGCACTTTTGCCATCCAGCGAGGGTGTGAGGTGGGCGAGGGGTCCTTGGTGTGAGGTCTGGCCTTGCGCAAAGCCCCCTTGCCTGCCTCGCGCTTTTGCCATCCAGCGAGGGTGTGGAAGTCAGAGCTGAATCGGTCAAAGGTACTGCAAATACCAACATCTGTTGTCCATACTGCCCCAAACATACTGTCCTGGTGATTAATCACTATGCATTAATTATGTTCAATTTATGACAATGCTATTTATGACATCCTACATATCGGATATTTACGTGACAATTCATAGCAGTAGCAAAATTGCAGTTATGAAATAGCAACAAAAATATTTTTATGGTCGGGGGTCACCACAACATGAGGAATTGTATTAAGGGTTAACGGCATTAGAAAGGTTGAGAACCACTGACCTAGAACTTAATTTCTACAGAAAGCCATAACAGGCAGCCATCCCACTTCTTTGGTGTCCCGACTCTGAGACGTTCCTCTCTCTACTATTTTCCTATCTCCAATCCTTGGTGCCGTAGCTTTACTATAATAGCAGTAAAGATGGCAGGTTGTGGATGAACTACAACTCTCATCATGCCAGGTTATCCCTGAGAAATTCCACCAGTACTTAAAGTTTGTTATGTGTTGGTCTGGATGAGGGTGAAGAGATTGAAACAACAGATTGAAGGAATCGAGGGGACGTTTACCGGAAAAATCCCTTGCAGCCTTCGCAGGTCATGGCGTGGAAGTGGTACCCGGTGGCCCGATCCCCGCATACGGCGCACGTTTTCTCCTCGCCGTTGAGATCTGCGTCGCCATGAGACAAAACCGTGGAGGTCGAGCTGGGGCTGTCGCTGCAGCTCTCGCTTTCGGAAAGGCACAACGTGGTGAGACCGGCCATCGTGGAGTCCCCTTAAATGCGACAGAGGTCAGAATCAGTGGTCGCCTAGGCCACGCCAAGCATAAAGTTAAGATCTAGTGAGCATCCTCTGTTGGGGAGATACCAGATAGACCAGGCATGGGCAAACTTGGGCCCTCCAGGTGTTTTGGACTTCAACTCCCACCATTCCTAGCAGCCGATAGGCTGCTAGGAATTGTGGGAGTTGAAGTCCAAAACACCTGGAGGGCCCAAGTTTGCCCATGCCTGAGATAGACCCTAGTGCCTTCCCATCACTTCTGTCTTGACATTCCTCAGGATTGGGCTGCTTCAGCCCTCCTTTTTTTCCCTTCCTCCCTCTCCTCCTTTCCTTCTCTTGCCCTTCCTTTTCTCTTTTCTTTCTTTCCTTCCCGTCTCCTTTCTCCAGCTCTGAGAGGGCCTGTCTCACAATGTCTTTTTGGCAACACGGCTCTTTTTGCTACTCTTTTTCTTTCCTCCATCTCCCTCATACATCTCCTCTCTCCCACTTCCCATTATTGCTTTCCTTCATACACTTACCTTTCTTTTTCCTTCTTTCCTCCCCTCCCCTCATACCTTTTCTTCTCTTCCTTCCTTCCCTCCCTCTCTTCCTTCATCCTATTTCTTTCTTCCCTTCTTTCCTCTCCTCTCCTCCCCTCATACCCTTCCTTCCTTTTCTCTTTCTCTTTTTCCCTTCCTTCTTTTTCCCTTCTTTTTCCTTCTCTCCTCTCCTCATACCCTTTCCTCACTTTCTTCCTCCCTCCCTTCCCTCCCTCTCTTCCTTCTTTCTTCCCTTCTTTCATCTCCTCCCCTCCCCTCATACCCTTCCTTCCTTCCTTCTCTCTTATTTCATTCCTTCTTTCTTCCCTTCTTTTTCCTTCTCTCCTCTCCTCATACCCTTTCCTCACTTTCTTCCTCCCTCCCTCCCTTCCTTCCCTCTCTTCCTTCTTTCTTCCCTTCTTTCCTCTCTTCTCTCCCCTCATACCCTTTCTTCTATTCCTTCCTTCCCTCTCTTCCTTCATCCTTTCTTTCTTTCTTTCCTTCTTTCTTTTTCCTTCTTTCCTCTCCTCCCCTCATACCTTTTCTCCTCTTCCTTCCTTCCTTCCTTCCTTCCTTCCTTCCTTCCTTCCTTCCTTCCTTCCTTCCTTCCCTCCCTCTTTCCTTCATCCCTTCTTTCTTCCCTTCTTTCCTCTCTTCTCCTCCCTCATACCCTTCCTTCCTTTCTTCTCTCTTATTTCATTCCCTCTTTCTTCCCTTCTTTTTCCTTCTTTCCTCTCCTCCCTCCTTCCTTCCTCTTCCTCCCTCCCTTCCTCCGTTCCCTCCCTCTCTTCCTTCTTTCTTCCCTTCTTCCCTCTCTCCCTCCTCTCATACCCTTTCTTTTCATTCCTTCCCTCTCTTCTTTCATCCTTTCTTTCTTTCTTTTTCCTTCTTTCCTCTCCTTCGTCTTCTTTCCTCTTCTACTCCCCTTCCTTCCTTCTTTCCTTCCTTCCTTCCTTCCTTCCTTCCTTCCTTCCTTCCTTCCTTCCTTCCTCTTTCCTTCATCCCTTCTTTCTTCCCTTCTTTCCTCTCTTCTCCTCCCTCATACCCTTCCTTCCTTTCTTCTCTCTTTTTTTATTCCCTCTTTCTTCCCTTCTTTTTCCTTCTTTCCTCTCCTCCCCTCATACCCTTTCCTCACTTCCTCCCTCCCTTCCTCCGTTCCCTCCCTCTCTTCCTTCTTTCTTCCCTTCTTCCCTCTCTTCCCTCCTCTCATACCCTTTCTTTTCATTCCTTCCCTCTCTTCTTTCATCCTTTCTTTCTTTCTTTTTCCTTCTTTCCTCTCCTTCCCTCATACCTTTTCTCCTCTTCCTTCCTTCCCTCCCTCTCTTCCTTCATCCCTTCTTTCTTCCTCTCCTCCCTCCCTTTCTCTCTTCCTTTCTTCCTTCCTCTTTCTTCTCCCTTCTTTTCCCTTCTTTTTCCTTCTTTCCTCTCTTCCCCCTCATACCCTTTCTTCTCTTCCTCCCTCCCTCCCCTCACTCCCTTCCTTCATCCCTTTCTTTTTCCTTCTTTCCTCTCCTCTCCTCATACTCTTCCTTCTTCCCTCCCTTCTCTCCCTCTCTTCCATCATCCCTTCTTTCTTCCCTTCTTCCCTCTCTTCTCTCCCCTCATACCCTTTCTTCTCTTCCTTCTCTCTCTTATTTCATTATTTTTTTCTTCCCTTCTTTTTCCTTCTTTCATCTCCTCCCCTCTTTCCTTTCTTCCCCTCCCTCCCTCCCTCCCTCCCTTCTTTCTTTCTCTTCCTTCATCCCTTCATTCTTCCCTTCTTTTTCCTTCTTTCCCTCATACCTTTCCTTTCTCTTCCTTCCTTCCCATCTTTTTCTTTCTTCCCACCTCCCTATCTTCTTCTCCATTTCTTTCTTTCCCTTCTTTTTCTCTTTCTTTCTTTCTTCACCTCCAAGACACTCCAAGGCAGGCACGGGCAAGGTTCAGGCCTCCAGGTGTTTTGGACTTCAACTCCCACAACTCCTAGCAGCCGGTAGGAAAGCCAAAGTTTGCCCATGCCTGCTCGAAGGTCTTAAGTTATGTACATTTGAAGTGACCCTGCTGCATTGCCTAAGAAGTGTATTATTCTAGTCTATATAAATAAAAATGTAATGTTCGCTTGTGGGATTAACAGAACTCAAAAACCACTGGGCGAATTGTCACTCAAATACACCAATGGCCATCACTCATAAAAACATATACACAAACACACATATATACACACGCATATAAACACACAAAACTCATACCCAGAAAGGAGGAAGGAAGGAGGGAAGGAGGGAGAGAAGAAAGGAAAGAAGGAGGGAAGGAGAGAAAGAAGGAAAGAAAGAAAGGTAGAGAAGGAAGGAGGGAGAGAAAGAGGGAGTGAAGAAGTGAAAGAAGGAGGGAAGGAGAGAAGGAAGGAAAAAATTAAGGGTAGAGAAGGAAGGAAGGAGAGAAGGAGGGAGAGAAGGAGGGAAGGAGATAAAGAAGGAAAGAAAAGGAGGGATAGAATGAGGGGAAGAAGGAGGGAAGAGGGAGAGAAAGAGGGAAAGAAGGAGAGAAGAAATGAAAGAAAGGTATAGAAGGAAGGAGAGAAGGAGGGAGAGAAAGAGGGAAAGAAGGAGAGAAGAAATGAAAGAAAGGTATAGAAGGAAGGAGAGAAGGAGGGAGAGAAAGAGGGAAGAAGGAGGAAGGGAAAGAAAAGAAAGAAGGAAGGAAGAAGAAGGAAGAGAAGAAGGAGAGAAGAGAGAGGGAGGGAGAAAAAGAAAGAAGAAGGGAGAGAGGAAGGAGGAGAAAGAGGGAGGAGAGAAGGAAAGAAAGGTAGAGAAGTAAGGAAGGAGGGAGAGAAGAGGGAAGAAGAAGGGTAGAGAAGGAAGGAAGGAGAGAAGAAAGGAAAAAAATAAGGGTAGAGAAGGAAGGAAGGAGAGAAGGAGGGAGAGAAGGAAGGAAGGAGATAAAGAAAGAAAAGGGTAGAGAAGGAAGGAAGGAGAGACGCAGGGAGAAAGAGGAAAGAGGGAAGGAAAGAAAGAAAGGTAGAGAAGGAAGGAAGAAGAGAAGGAGGGAGAGAAGGAGGAAAGGAGATAAAGAAGGAAAGAAAAGGGTAGAGAAGGAAGGAAGGAGAGAAGCAGGGAGAAAAAGGGAAGGAGAGAAGGAAAGAAAGAAAGGTAGAGAAGGAAGGAAGGAGAGAAGGAGGGAGAGAAAGAAGGAAAGAAAGAAGGGTAGAGAAGGAAGGAAGGAAAGAGACATGGAAGGATGGAACCAAAGAGCAAAGGAAGCGAGAAAAGAAACAGGTAGAGAAGGAAGGAAGAAGAAGGGAAAGAAAAAGAGGGAAGGAAGGAAAGAGGGAGGGAGGAAGGAGAGAAAGAAAGAAGGAGAGAAAGAGGGAGGGAAGGTTGGACACAGTAACGCGTGGCGGGTACAGCTAGTACACACAAATATATACACAAATATACGCACACAAAACACATATACACAGACTGGGCCACAGCAACGCGTGGCAGGGGACGGCTAGTCAGTATATATAAGTGTGTGCTATGCCGGCTCCTTCCCTGTGCTGTGCGTGTTAGCAAAGGGCAGTGTTATGCAACAAGTCAAGGGACAAAAGCCGGACTTACCGTATATACTCGAGTATAAGCCGACCCGAATATAAGCCGAGGTGCCTAATTTTACCACAAAAAACTGGGAAATCGTATTAATTCGAGTATAAGCCGAGGGTGGGAAATGCAGCCAATCTCAAAATAAAAAATAGATACCAATGAAATTAAATCGAGGGAAAAAACTCTTATCTGTTGGAGGCAAGTGTGAATGTTGCCATTGGCCACTGTAATTAGCATTTATAGCCTTGCAGCTTCAAAGCCTGGCTGATTGCTGCCTAGGGAACTCTACCCCACTGTGATCATAGAATCATAGAATCCTAGAGTTGGAAGAGACCTCATGGGCCATCCAGTCCAACCCCATTCTGCCAAGAAGCAGGAATATTGCATTCAAAGCACCCCCGACAGATGGCCATCCAGCCTCTGTTTAAAAGCTTCCAAAGAAGGAGTCTCCACCACACTCCGGGACAGAGAGTTCCACTGCTGAACGGCTTTCAGGTACACTTCCATCTTGGATTTGCCACAAAATCCTTACAGGGAAAGAGAGGGATTGGGAGGATTTAGGGGGCATCTACACCATGGAATTAATGCAGTTTGACATCGCCTGAACTGCCGAGGCACAAAGCTTCGTAATCCATGGTCTATGCATTGTCAGAGGCTTTCATGGCTGGAATCACTGGGTTGCTGTGAGTTTTCCGGGCTGTCTGGCCATGTCCCAGAAGCACTCCCTCCTGACGTTTCACCCACATCTATGGCAGGCATCCTCAGATATTGTTTCGTCTGTTGTCGAAGGCTTTCATGGCCTGAATCACTGGGTTGTTGTGAGTTTTCCGGGCTGTCTGGCCATGTCCCAGAAGCATTCTCTCCTGACATTTCGCCCACATCTATGACAGGCATCCTCAGAGGTTGTGAGGTCTGTTGTCGAAGGCTTTCATGGCCTGAAAAACTGGGTAGCTGTGAGTTTTCCAGGCTGTCTGGCCAAGTTCCAGAAGCATTCTCTCCTGACATTTCACCCACATCTATAGCAGGCATCCTCAGAGGTTGCAAGGTCTGTTGGAAATTGTCTACCTGCTTGTGGATTTCAGTGGCTTTTCCGTGCAGCTTCAAAGCCTGGCTGCTAACTGCCTGGGAGAATCCTTCGTTGGAAGGGTCAACTAACACCTCCTAACAAAGGATTCTCCCAGGCAGGAAGCAGCCAGGCTTTGAAGCTGCAAGGCTATTCTGTGGTAATCAAGGTGGCAGCTTCAAAGCCTGGCTTCTTACTGCCTGGGAGAATCCTTCGTTGGAAGGGTCAACTAACACCTCCCAACAAAGGATTCTCCCAGGCAGGAAGCAGCCAGACTTTGAAGCTGCAAGGCTATTCAGTGGTAATCAAGGTGGCAGTTTCAAAGCCTGGCTGCTAATTGCCTGGGAGATTTCTTCATTGGAAGGGTCAACTAACACCTCCCAACAAAGGATTCTCCCGGGCAGGAAGCAGCCGGGCTTTGAAGCTGCAAGGCTATTCAGTGGTAATCAAGGTGGCAGCTTCAAAGCCTGGCTTCTTACTGCCTGGGAGATTCCTTCATTGGAAGGGTCAACTAACACCTCCCAACAAAGGATTCTCCCAGGCAGGAAGCAGCCAGGCTTTGAATCTACAAGGCTATTCAGTGGTAATCAAGGTGGCCAATGACAACATTCAGACAAGAGTTCTTTCTCCCACCCTGGACATTATTCCACAGGTATATAAATCCCACTTGCCTAGTTTCCAACAGACCTCACAACCTGTGAGGACGCCTGCCATAGATGTGGGCGAAATGTCAGGAGAGAGTGCTTCTGGAACAGAAAACTCACAACAACCCAATGCAGACTTTCTCGGTTTATACATTACTTCTGACCTTTGATCTTTCCAATTTTTTTAAACTCTTGAGTTGCCCCCCAATATGTCTTCCTTCCTTCCTTCCTTCCTTCCTTCCTTCCTTCCTTCCTTCCTCCTTCCTTCCTTCCTTCCTTCCTTCCTTCCCCAACCCCGTCTCTCTCTCTCTTAGGCTTGCTTACCAGTTGTGTGTCAAAGCACAAACCAGATTAGTGGCAAAGCGGAGTGAGCTGAGGTCTCATTAGGCGCCTTGTTTTCCTCCCCAGCAGTGCTTGTCCTCCAGGAGAAAAAGAAGGAAAATAATCCAGCTTGATTTCACTTGATGTGGCGAAATCTGTACTTTGTCCTCGAGATCAAAAAGGAGTGGAAAGGCGCAACGTTGCCTCGTGCTTGGCAGCCCAGGGCAGAAGCCAACGAAGCCAAAGGTATACGCGGGGATGTATGGTGCCAAACTGCATTATTTCCACAGTGTAGATAGTTACATCCTATGGAGCCCACGGTGGCGCAGAGGGTTCAAGCGCTGAGCTGCTGAACTTGCTGAACCAAAGGTTGCAAGGTCGAATCCAGGGAGCAGGGTGTCAGCCCCAACTCTTGCCAACCTAGCAGTTCGAAAATATGCAAATGTGAGTAGATCAATAGGTACTGCTCCGGCACTGCACTTCATGCAGTCATGCCGGCCGCATGACATTGGAGGTGTCTATGGACAACTCCGGCTCTTTGGCTTAGAAATGGAGATGAGCACTATCCCCTATAGTGGGATACGACTGGATTTCATGTCAGGAGAAAGCCTTTATCTTTACTAAGGCGGCAAAAAAAGCCAATGGGATTTTGGCCTGCATCATAGAATCATAGAATCATAGAATCAAAGAGTTGGAAGAGACCTCATGGGCCATCCAGTCCAACCCCATTCTGCCAAGAAGCAGGAATATTGCATTCAAATCACCCCTGACAAATGGCCATCCAGCCTCTGCTTAAAAGCTTCCAAAGAAGGAGCCTCCACCACACTCCAGGGCAGAGAGTTCCACTGCTGAACGGCTCTCACAGTCAGGAAGTTCTTCCTCATGTTCAGATGGAATCTCCTCTCTTGTAGTTTGAAGCCATTGTTCCGTGTCCTAGTCTCCAAGGAAGCAGAAAACAAGCTTGCTCCCTCCTCCCTGTGGCTTCCTCTCACATATTTATACATGGCTATCATATCATGGCTATCATACAGCTTGTTGATCGAAAGGTCGCAGGTTCGATTCCGGGGAGCGGCGTGAGCTTCCACTGTCAGCCCTAGCTTCTGCCAACCTAGCAGTTCGAAAACATGCAAATGTGAGTAGATCAATAGGTACCGCTCCGGCGGGAAGGTAAGGGCGCTCCATGCAGTCATGCCGGCCACATGACCTTGGAGGTGTCTACGGACAACGCTGGCTCTTCGGCTTAGAAATGGAGATGAGCACCACACCCCAGAGTCAGACATGACTGGACTTAATGTCAGGGGACTACCTTTACCATTTTACTCCTCTCAGCCTTCTCTTCTTCAGGCTAAACATGCCCATCTCCTTAAGCCGCTCCTCATAGGGCTTGTTCTCCAGACCCTTGATCATTTTAGTCGCCCTCCTCTGGACACATTCCAGCTTGTCAATATCCCTCTTCAATTGTGGTGCCCAGAATTGGACACAATATTCCAGGTGTGGTCTAACCAAAGCAGAATAGAGCATGGGGAGCATGACTTCCCCAGATCTAGACACTAGGCTCCTATTGAGAAAGCTGAGAGGAGATATGATAGCCATGTATAAATATGTGAGAGGAAGCCACAGAGAGGAGGGAGCAAGCTTGTTTTCTGCTTCCCTGGAGACTAGGACGCAATGGAACAATGGCTTCAAACTACAAGAGAGATTCCATCTGAACATTAGGAAGAACTTCCTGACTGTGAGAGCCGTTCAGCAGCTTTGGAAGCTTTTAAACAGGGGCTGGATGGGCATCTGTCAGGGGTGATTTGAATGCAATATTCCTGCTTCTTGGCAGAATGGGGTTGGACTGGATGGCCCACGAGGTCTCTTCCAACTCTTTGATTCTATGATTCTATGAAAGAGAAAGGGAGAAAGAGAAAAAGAGAAAGAAAGAAAAAGAAAGAGAGAGAGAAAGAAAGAGAAAGGAAGAAAGAAAGAAAGAAAGAAAGAAGCGAAAGAAAGAAAGAAACAGGGAGAGAGAGAAAGAAAGGAAGAAAAAAGAAAGAAAGAATGAGAAAGAGAAAGGGAGAAAGAGAAAGAAAGAAAAGAGAAAGAAAGCGAAAGAAAAAGAAAGAAAGAAAGAAAGAAAGAAAGAAAGAAAGAAAGAAAGAAAGTGTGTAAATGATTAGAATTAGGGCTGGAAAAGGTAGGAAGCAGGTGGGCACATTGAAACCGTTTTCTTCAATATCTGTTTGAAATGCCATTAAATGGTCTAGGGCACTGGTTCTCAACCTTCCTAATGCCGTGACCCCGGACAATGCCCTGGCCATCCGGATCCGCAAGTCTAAAACAGATCAAAGGGGAATAGGGGTTTCCCTGTCCATCCGGGGTTTGGAACCAGGGCATCTGTGCCCTGTGCGGTCCCTTTCCAGGTTCCTGGCCACGAGGGGCTCCACTCCTGGCTTCCTTTTCATTCACCGAGATGGCAGCCCCCTCACCCGTTATCAGTTCATGGCAGTCTTCCGAGGATCCCTCCAGCACTTGGGCCTTCCTCGGGCTGAGTTTGGTGGGCACTCCTTCAGGATAGGAGCAGCCACCACGGCTGCCGCGGGTGGTGTCCCAGTTGACGTAATAAAAACTATGGGGCGCTGGAAATCTTCAGCTTATGCATCTTATATCAGGCCGGGCCTTCTCCTTGAAGGAACCCGACCTGCCGCTGGTTCTTTTTCTTCCACCGACAGAGCGGCCAGGAGCAGGAATGAAGGGAGGAGTAACGCACGGAACAAGCACGGAACAGCGGCAGTCAAGTGTCAGCATGCCTAGGATGCAAGATGAGGACATGGTCCAGGGACTGAGGCATGCTTGAAAGGCCAACGGCCGGCAGGAGGAGGGAGTTCCACCAGCACTACATGCAGCTCCTCACGCGTCCATGAACAGACCGGGATGCAGTGCAGGACTTTGAGATGGCCGTGTTGCTATTGGGCTTCCTTTGTTGGGAGCAGGCTCCAGGGTTGGCGGCAAGGGGGGTGCGGTCCCCAACCCCCCCCCCCCTTTTGTGGCGTGGGGCATGGGCCCTGGATCTGGTTTGGTATCCCCCCCTAGTGGTTGGGGGGGACGCCCGGTGGTCCCAGGGGTGCCGAGTTGCATGTGCCCGGTATTGTGCCGGCGGCACCCCGGTGTGTGCGGGATCGGACAGTATTGGGCTGTCCGATCATGATCCAGGATCCTTGTTCCTGTTATCAATAAATGAGTTGTGGCCATTGTTCATCCCACATCATGTGTGAGTGTACTTCTTGGGTTGGCTGTGGGAGGTGTATGGCACTTGCACACGCAACTGTAATTTTGCGACTGTTATAAATTGTAATGTAAATATCTAATATACAGGATGTATTTTCATTCAGTGGACACAAATACCCAATACACCCCAATTTGAATACTGGTGGAGTTGGGGGAGGGATTGATTTTGTCCTTTGGGAGCTGTAGTTGCTGGGATTTATAGCTCACCTACAATCAAAGAGCATTCTGAACTCCACCAATGAGGGAATTGAGTCAAATTGGCACACAGAACTTCCAAGACCAACAGAAAATACGAGAAAGGTTTGGTGGGCATTGGCCTTGATTTTGGGAGTTGTAGTTCACCTACATCCAGAGAGCACAGTGGATTCAAACAATGATGGATGTGGACCAAAATTGGCAAACTTGGCACGAATATTCAATAGGCCGAATTGTGAACACTGGTGGAGTTTGGGGAAAATATACCTTGACATTTGGGAGTTGTAGTTGCTGGGATTTATAGTTCAACTGCAATCAAAGAGCATTCTGAAAACCTCACCAACGATAAAATTCGGCCAAACTTCCCACACAGAATTTATTTATTTGGGGTTCTTCTACCCCGCCCTTCTCACCCCGAAGGGGACTCAGGGCGGCTTACAGAGGCAAAGGCACAATTTGATGCCTGCATCATAAAACAATCATACACAAAATTACATCAATTCACAATTAACAACAGTTCATGCATTATAACCATAAAATCAATAAAATCAATAAAAACTTATACAAACCCAGTTTCTCCTCTTACAAGGTCAGCGTTTGCTCACTCATAGATATAGTTTTCCGTTCCACTTCATCAATCCTGTTGGTCTTACTCGCCTGATTGTCTAATTTAATTGCCAGAGTGCCCAAAGGCCTGGTCCCATAACCACGTCTTCACCCTCCTCCTAAAGGCGAGGAGGGATGATGATGCCCTGATTTCCCCTGGGAGTGAGTTCCACAGGTGAGGGGCCACCACTGAGAAAGCCCTGCTCCTCGTCCCCACCAGCCTCACTTGTGAGAGTGGTGGGGTCGAGAGCAGGGCCTCCCCAGATGATCTCAGACTCCGGGGTGGGACGTAGAGGGAGATATACGTTCGGACAGATACACTGGACCGGAACCGTACAGGGTTTTGTAGGTACCAGCACAGAACCCCCATGATCAATAGAAAATAATGTATTTTCTGTGGCTTTCTCCCCTAGAAGCCTTCCACAGGAGAGAAATAGGCTGGCAACATTGGCCCACGTATCGAGAATTTCTAGAGAAGATAGAAGGGAAATACATACTTAAAGACGAAAAGAAAATCAAAGAAACATTTCCCAATCTCTCATGGTTGAATTATAGACAACTAGCCGATTGCTATAAAATAGACAAAGGCTCAGAATTTGCAGACCAAAATGGCTTTTGGGATAGTATTCTGAAGTCAAATAACAAACTCATTACGAAAATATACAAAAAACTATTAGAGTGGACCACCGAAACGGAACAAATAAAGGACTCAATGATCAAGTGGGCTCAAAACATAGGCCACCAAATAGATCTAAATAAATGGGAGAAGGTCTGGAACCAAAGAATGAAACTAACCTATTCCTACGAACTAAAAGAAAATCTCGTCAAAATGATTCATCCAGTCATCGATAAAGACCAAATTTGACACACTTGAGTCTCTATGATGCACTCTACATCCTGGTGCGGTTTGGGGGAGGATGCACCATGGACGATGGGACTTGCAATACCTGCACTCCCTTGCTGAGACCATTACAACTGCCAACAGTGATGGGTCAGGATCACAATTTGCACAGAGAGCCCGCATGATCCACTCTACATCCTGGTGCAGTTTGGAAAAA